TATTTTACATTTAAAGCCCTGTTTTAAGATCGTTTCTGATGAAATAGAAAGATTAAGATTGAAATTTGGACACATGCTGCTGTCCCGAGAATTTTCGGTTTCTGTGGTTGCACCCCCCCACCTCCACAATGGTTGCATAGGTGCACTGGAACAATCCTTGATAAAACGCATTAAACTTTAGTTTACAAAGACGTGAAACTCACCGAGTGGTCTTGGGAGTGTTCACTGATATGCTCACACAAAAATTGCTGTAAAAGATGCTTTCCAACAGGTTTTATCGTAGTTTTTGTCCAACTCCATTGACTTGACTTGGGACAAAAACTACTATAAAACCTGTTGGAAAGCATCTTTTGCAGCGATTTTTGTGGCCAGCAGCATGTGTCCAAATTTTAATCTTAACCGTTCTATTTCATCAAAAACGATCTTAAAACAGGGCTTTAAGTGTAAAATACCGAACTTGTCCTTTAAGATGCGTACACTTACATGTATTTAGGGTGTAAGAAAGTCTCTTATTACTTTATTTGGTTACCTTTTATAGGTGATTTGCTCAAAAAGCTACTGCCATTGAGATGAATGCTACTGCAATGCTAACAGATAGATTTTTCTAGATATAATAGACATCCTCAGCGTGACTTAATTTGCTTTTATCGAGTAGTCCTCAGCTTGTACAGGTTTCTTTCCCCAAGCTCCCGACTGCGGTTTCTGCGCACTTGAGATCCCGTGGCACATCTTGTGTTGAATGACGGTCTCCTCCGCCAAATTCCCTGCCTGGCTCTTCTGACTGGCTTTGGATCAGCCGTTCAGAGAGTTTTGATGTGGTGCCACGTTTGCCAAGATGGCTTTGTCCGGGATTTCCGTAGATGTTCCAGCACTCTCTTTAGCCATTGGCCAGATTGTTTATTCCCTGAGTAGTCATCACATCTGTATGCCTGATTAAAACAGCAAGTGAAGGACTTTAACTCCGTGTTGAGCAGATAATGTCAGTTCATGAAGCCAAATAAATCCAGATATTTACCTGAATACAAAGGATAGTTATAGAATCTTAGAATAGAGGGGTTTACGTTGCATAGAAATGTACTTTTTTTTTGGGCAGAGGCTATGTACACTAAGTGCAACTAGCGTTAAATGTTATTTACACTAAGTGGAATTAGCTGTATTTTCTTAGCGATAGATTTTATATACCCCAGATGCAAATAGAGATAGATGCTAAATTTACACTAAGTGTAATTAAGAAAATATTTGAAAAGGGGAAATAAAGTGCCTATAGATTATCTAATTCTGGGAATAAATGGTAAATGGACTGCATTTATATAGCGCTTTCACAGACCCAATGGCCACCAAAGCGCTTTACATATTGCCTCACATTCACCCATTCACACACTCATTAATACACCGACGGCGATGTCAACCATGCAAGGCGCTATCCAGCTCGTCGGGAGCAGCTGGGGTTAGGTGTCTTGCTCATGGACACCTCGACACTTGGCCAGGTGGAACCGGGGATTGAACCACCAACCTACATGAACCACTGAGCCACTGCCGCCTAAAGTGTTGAATGGTTAGATGTGTATAACTGCTCCTGTTAGCAGAGGCTTTTCTTTTGTCGTTTTGTCTGGCTCAGACAGACAGTGGTGGGCAGAGTTCATGTTAAAAGCCTCTGCCAACATGGTGGGCTTTTTGCACTTGGTGCACAATTCATTTTTATGCCACACATAGCAAGGCCAAAATGTGTTTCCGTGACTTCCACACTTTGTCAGCATAAAATAGTATTACAGAATTATTACTGGCACAATCCCCACATGGAGCAACCTGGGTTTAAGTGCTTTTCTGAAGGGAACAGTGGGGATTGGTCTGCTTTTTTGGGGAACCAACTGTTGGATGAAGAATACAGGGTTTCCTTAACTTTAGGCATTTTTATGATTTTTTAATTTTTATTGTATCTTTTATATATATTCATATTTGGAAATTATATATATGTATGTTTTCATGTCTTTTATTTTGTAATTCTCACTGTCATGCTTCCTGTTTGCCATTTGCTTCCCTTGTCTATGTGTCCTGTGTTCTCATTGGTTTATTGTTTGATTGTTCTCTGGTGTTCCTTGTTAGTCATCTGTATAAATAGCCCTCATGTTCCCTTTTTTCTCTCTCTAGCTTTGATGTTGTTAATGTAACCAACACCAACTCACTCTGTTGGTGAGTTTGTTTGTCAAGTTTCAAGTCAGGTCTTTGTTTATTTTGTACTTTGTTCACATTTATGTTAAAGTTAGTGTAGTCAATCATGTTATCCCCTAAAACTCATCTTTGATCATCAAAAAGAGATTTAATTTCAAGAGAAAAAGCATGAGAGTTTACTGTTTTTGATTTAATTTAAAATGTTTCTGATTTTAACATACAGAATATGTTTAAATGCTTTGCCACTTGCTTAAGGAACTTTATATAAATCTATAGATGTAATGAATTGAATGATGTCTATGAAAGATTGTATAACTGGACTCTGAAAACATTTTCAGTAACAACTGGATTTTAAATAAAAATAACGAATACATTTTGTGGAATCGACACTATGATGGGAATTTTTTATAACATTCAGAAAAAAACGTACAGATTTTTTAACGTTTTCTCTCAATGACTTTGTTTTGTTTTTGTGAACAATGTTGTCTCATGATACATCATGCGATTTTTGTGGGTAAATCATTGGCTGTGCTTTGAAAAGTCAATGGCAAATGGGGTCAAAGTCAAGTTACAGAGTTACAACTGAAGCTTGAAGTTTGATTCCATATATTCCAAAGCATTAGAGACCATTAGTTTCACCTGAGTGCTCTTTACTGTAGTGTGGTGTGTTTGGGTACAGGGGGTTTTGAGGACCGGGATCAGGGTCAGGTGGGTTCAGGAATATGGTCTCCGTCCCCATCCTCTGCTCCGATCTGTAGTGGCAGGTGTGCATGCTAGGAATATTCCCGAAGACAGTGATGTAAATCAAGGACGATTCTCCTGCTTACAACTTGCACAATCTTAGCTCCGGTCTCTGACTTATGAGCTCAGTTTTTTTACGAAGTGCTTGCGATTTTAAGATTTCCTTTGGTTCCCTGTCAGGTCAGAGAGATCTTTCACATAGGCTAGCTTTATAAGTCATCTTAAGCTTGATTCAATGAGAAACTATGTTTATCTTGTGCATGTGGGAATCAAATTAAAGAAGCATCTGTACAATAGACTGACAAGTGTGCTTAGCTTTTCAAACTTGTGCTGTGCACTATTCCTGAAGAATTCTGCAAAGGTGTGCTCTTCCTAACATACGGCTCTGAACTCTGAGGTTTTTTGCTGATCTGTGATCATTTTACATTTGATAAAAACCTCTCAGAGCTCAGCAGCCTGATGGAGGATAAGTTGCAATTTGACTGCTCCCAAATACTGCTGTATCGGTTCAAACATGGAGTAGCGAATCAAAAACACAGTGCAACTAGTTTAGTCCCATTTTCGAATAAATTTGGCTTATGAGCTGGTTATTTTTAATGAAAATAAAAAACATACAGAATGACCAGTACAGTCACAGACTCTGAGTCATTTCTTTTAGTGAATTATGGTATGTTATGATATGAAAAGCTTTTTCTTTGCATTTTTTTAAAGTTTCGCTTACAGACGACAATGTTGTCCAAACGATCCCCGTTTATACTGTACAGATCCACTAAACCGGCTATAAAAGTACTGTATTCGGCTGCCAGGCCAGTTGGTGATGTCACTTTATCGTTTTGGTTGTTAAGTACTCGCGCACGCCTATAGACTAAACACGAATACGCATGCGCATGATGTTACGGTGTTCACAAATTCGCGTTTTTGCAGTTTACACGGAGATGATTGCGGTATTGTTTTCAAAAACTTGCACTTTGAAACCCGTTTTCAAAAGGTTGTGTTTTCAGGCCCCCATAAACGGCATTGTCGTGTAAATTTATATGACACTGTGTAGTTATGAATTCACTCATTACAAATTTTGTGAGAAGTAATTTATAAAATAATACACATGCTACCACACTTTTTGTTAGTTTAGGATTGTTGTTTACTATAGTTAAAGGTGCAGTAAGCAATTTGTGAGAAACACTGTTGATATTTGAAATCGACACCCAAACAAACACACCCCTCCCCCTTGAGTGCTCGGCCCCAAACTGTCGTGTCAGACTAGCTGTGCATGTATGGATGAATCATCTGCATCTACAACAATAGCGTATCTTAGTTCTATGAAACATAGCAAAAACCAATGTTACTCGCGTGTTACTCGCATTCGCTTTCAAGCCTTCCCTCTCTCTAATGTCTCTCCTACGCTAGAAAGGTTCTCCAATATTCACGCGGGTCTTAAATCTCTTGTCTGATCGTAACACTTCTTTGTCCAATTATATTCCTCTGACCATTTCCTCTTTGGTAATATCTCAGTCATCTCTCTTTTTACAGTCTTTCTACAAATCTCCCGCTTGCTCACTCTCTGTCCTCCCCCATCATGAGTGGACACGCCCCCTACCGCTGATTGGCTGCAAAAGTTTCGGTCCGATCCACTGAGTTTTTTTGTCCTATTTAATCAGCCAGGACTATGTACAGACACACAATTTTTTTTTCAGCACACACACAGAACAGACATCTAGCAAATATTCACAAAATTGTTTGTTTAGGTCTTGATGTAAATTTTCAACAGGATTTCTCAAATCATTAACCGCACTTTAAGGCCTCTAAAAACTGTCATTATTCTAATAAAAGCCTGTGTAAACACACCTTTTGCAAGAATTGTTTTAAATTGAATTATCATTCAGGTCAAACATTTATTCTTTACAAGTAAAAGAATCATAAATGGAACCATTAAGCAACTGGAATTGTTAGCAGGAATCTGAACCATTAAATTATTTATGATTACCATGCTAAGTTGTGATACATTAAAATGCACATTAATGTGATGGATTTTTGTTGTTGTTGTTTTGTTGTTGTGAGTTAAATATCTTTCTTGTCTCTTCACTTCTCCACAGGTGGAGCGAGAGATCGCCATCTTGAAGCTAATAGAACACCCGCATGTATTAAAGTTGCACGACGTCTACGAAAATAAGAAATATTTGTAAGTATTATAAGAATTTTGATGAAAGTAAAATATTGCTTTGCTTATTTGTATTGATTTGTGGTATTTAAGATCTTTAAATAGACATTAAAACTGACTAATAATTATTAAATAAAATATAATAATAATAATAAATATAATTACAGTTCATAATCTTAGGCTATATGTAAATGATCAAATATTTTCTCATACAGTACATCTTAAGATGCTAACGATAACCATTTTTTTAACATGTACCATGGTGGAACCATAGTTTAGTTTCCTTATCAAAGTACCATGGACACAGTTCTTTTTTGTAAAGACACTTATTTAGACTTTGAACATTTATACTTATTATATTTGTTTATTCTTATTTATTTAAGATGAAGTATGACTAGGATTGCAAACCCGAAGTGTGAGAGTGTTTAGCTAAATCAAGTGGAGTTTGGTGGTGTATCCTGAAAGTTTGGCAGAAATGCGTCATGTGTAAATGCGTTTGATCCTGAAAGGTTTTAAGAGAGGGATTCTGCTGGTGCTAAAACACTCTTAATGATGAAAGTATGAAGCGGCCTGTTAGTCACGGCAGTTTGAGAGCTGCTAATGGGGCCACGACTCATCCTTCATGTAAACACCATGATAATTCACTTAGCATTTTTTGGCATCAACAAATCTTTATGAAAATGGTTTCTGTTTACCTCATCACTCTTTATATATTTCTCTGGTTTTGAAGCGCTGCATGTGTTTAATATCTCTTGGTATCATGGTAATACTGTGATTTTTAACATTCTTATGATTCTTAATATGCATAAGAGCCAAAACATTATGATAACCTTCCTAATATGCTGTTAGTCCTCTGATTGCTGCCAAAACAGCGCCGACCCGCCGAGGCATGGACTCTACGAGACTCCTGAAGGTGTCCTGTGGTTTCTGGCACCAAGACTTTAGCAGCAGATCCTTCAAGTCCTGTAGGTTGCGAGGTTTAGCGTCCGTGGATTGAACTTGTTGGTCCAGCACATCTCACAGATGCTCAATATGATTGAGATCTGGGGAATTTTCAGGTCACCTTGAACTCTTCATCGTGTTCCTCAAACCGTTCCTAAACAGTGTGTGCAGTGTGTCAGGCTGCTTTATCCTGCTGAAAGAGACACTTCCACTAGGGAAACACTGTTGTCATGACGGGGTGGACCTGGTCTCAACAATGTTTAGGAAGGTGGAATGTGTCAAATTGTTGTCCACATGAATGGCCGAATTTCCCTGCAGAACATTGTCCAGAGCCTCACACTCCCTCCACCGGCTTGACGTTTTCCCACAGTGTATCCTGGTGCATCACTACGTTCATGGCCGTCCAAGTGACGTAAAAGGAAACAGGACTCATTAGACCAGATGACCTTCTTCCACTGCTCCAAGGTCAAGTTACGACGCTCCCGTCTCCACTGTAGACGCTTTCAATGACATAGGTCATTATGGGCACTCTGATTGGTCTGCAGCTACACAGCCCCATACACAGCAGTGTGTGACGCACTGTGTGTTGTGACACATTTCTTCTATAACCATCATTAATATTGTGTGTGACTTTCTGTTGGCTCAGGCCAGAATGGATAGCCTTTGTTGCCCTTGTGCATCGATGAGCCTAGAGCGTCCAACACCCTGTCACCGGTTTGTCCCTCCTCAGATCCTGTTGGTAAATTCTCACCATTGCTGTCCGGGAGCGACACACAATCCTCTCAGTTTCAGAGATACTCTGACCCTGAGAGGGCGGCAGTGGCTCAGTGGTTCATGTGGGTTGTCTACAAACCGGAAGGTTGGTGGTTCAATCCCCGGTTCCACCTGGCCAAGTGTCGAGGTGTCCATGAGCAAGACACCTAACCCCAGCTGCTCCCGACGAGCTGGATGGCGCCTTGTATGGCTGACACCGCCGTCGGTGTATGAATGAGTGAGTGAATGGGTGAATGTGAGGCAATATGTAAAGCGCTTTGGTGGCCATTGGGTCTGTGAAAGCGCTATATAAAATGCAGTCCATTTACCATTTACCCTGTCACCTTGCCATTACAATTTGGCCCTTAACAAAGTCACTCAGATCTGTATTGCTGCACATTTCTCCTACATCCAACACGTTGATTACGAGAACTGATTGTTTGCGTACCGTCTAATTTACCCATATGTAGCCTTGTTAGGAGATGATCACGACCTGTGACTGGTCATAGTGTTTTGCCTTATTAGTGTACCATGAATATCATTCTATGCCAGAGGTCGACAACCTTTTTGTCATGATGTGCCATGATAGTTAATTTGATTAGTAACATAGAAAGAGTCCAGAACCTAAAATATTTTTGAAGCAATTTTCCATAATTTGTTTTAAATTCATCAAATTCCTTCAAGTTTGTTTGTTTTCAGATTTAAATTAGACTTTCAATGACAGATTTCCAATGTGACCCTACTGAACCCTACTACGTGTGAACAGTGTTTGCACATTACCATCATTGTGTTTTAATAGGATTATATGTACTTATTTGAATATCTCTGAAATGTATAACAAAAACAGCAGAACAAACTCTAAGCTGACAGCCATTCACTTATGTTGTGTAATTCATCTGCCATCAGCAGCTCGTAATGTGCAAAGCTAATGGTCTTGTCGGGATTGTGCACTTTCATTGACTTGTGCAGTTTAATTCTCACACTTTAATAGTATTTATAGGTTCTAATTTGGAACAAGCTGTTACGATGAGAAATTATTACCTCCAAATGAAGATCTGAATGCAAGGGCGAGGTAATTTATCTAAATTAAATACATACACCTCTCTCGCTTTTGCTCACATTCCAGCGATTACCCCTCAGCATTGCATGTTGCAGACCCCTATCTATGCTATATATCACAGTGTTATGGTATTATCACTCATTTGAGTACCGCTGCCAGGTTTAGCCTAGGTGATTCATTGACTCATTCACTCATCCAATCACACAACACAAAGCATTTTTTGTGTATTTTTTTTTATTACACTGATTCATTCAGAGACGAAACGCGCTCGGAGACGCTGCAGTTAATTGTTGCAACTTTATTTCGACCTGTTTTGGCTAATGGAGCAAATCGGTCAAAATATATGGCAATATATTTATGTCTAAATATACTCTGTCTAAATGTAAGTTTCTTAGCATTAACTTGCACATTGAGCTTTTGTACAAAACAATCTCAATGACAGTGATGTGAACAGAGTGATGATTTTAATGGCTTGACATTTAGTTTACTGGTTAAAAAAAGGTTAAAAAAATTTGGTTAATCTAAAAGCTGACTATGACACCAAGTTGCCGGCATCTTCCACCGATACATACACTCGCTTGGCTTGGAAGAGAAACTCACACATTCACAAATGTTGTTTAATCATGAATTGTTTATGACACTGACTTTTTTTTTTTTTTTTTTTTACTTTAGTGTGAGTGTATTTGACGGCAGTTTCTCCACGGAAACTTAAAAATTCACTGTTCGTTCAAGCTCTCTTAGTCCTCCAAACTTTTCCTGACAATCTTTCAAAAACAGCCTAATTTCAAACCATAACAGCATGTTATCGTCAAGGAGACTCAACAAAACTAAAACCTACTAAAAGTTTTATCGTGTTTACTTTCTTGGTATCCCTTTTATCTTCACACTCATCTTCCATTGTGCGCTTTTGGTTCACACACTTGGACAATGTAGAATGGAAGCTGTCAGCCACGTATTTCTCTGCCATGTACAACCTCCATCCAAAGAGAATCACTCTCGACTCTGTGTGTTGTTTAAATGAATATCCCCCATACTTGGAGATGAAATTGTCTATTCTCTTTGAGACTTCAACCAGGTTCTTTGAAAAGGGTCTAAAGGAAAATATTAGTTATTTTAATGAGGTTTCATTATAGACTCAAGCCATTCAATCTAAATCCATGTCTGTTAGCTTTGATGTTGTCGACTTTATAAGCAAGTGTTCTGCTAAATGTTTACAAACTGAAGTGTTTACATTAGGAGCTAAAATATGATGACTCATCTTGCACACAACATGATGTAATTGAGTTTGAAAAACACAGTTTCAAACAGCCCGTTCCTAACATCACAAACAAAAAGTCTGAGATTAGCAACATATTATTAGCTGTTTGATACTGCAATTGCGACTTTATATAACGAAATTCTGAGATAGAAAGTCAGAATTGCGAGATGTAAAGTCGCAATTGTAAGAAAAAGAGTCAGAATTGTGAGATAAAAAGTCGCAATTACCTTCTTTATTTTTTATTCTGTGGCAGAAACAAGCTTCAATAGCAGACAGAGTTTGCGATCAGATCATTTTACCGCTAAACTCCGGAAAAGTTTTCAGTCCAATTATCCAGCAAGCGAATGCATTAAACGGCATTAATGTAAAGAAAAGCAGGCTTATTAGCCTACATTAGAGCAGGCAGAGAGAACAGTGACTCGCAGCCAGTTTTCAGTGAATTATTCATTCCAGTGTCTGTTTAGGTTAAACACGAGCTCTGTCATATTCTGTGATTGTTTCTGAAGAGCGCAAGCCCTCAATGCATCGCTCTGTGTGAAATTGAACGGAACCTCAAATCATCCCACCGCTGTATGGACAGATGATAGCGTTTCTTTGCTGGATAAAGCAAACCTGTACCAGTCGTACAATAAGCGCGCTTGAGAACGATGCGCAAACAAACTGTGAATGTGTCTCAATGCACTGATCGCACATTCTATTGTATTGTATTCACATTGTTTCCACACACATTCAGGTTAATATTTTTATCTGTCGTGCATGTTGCTGTGTTTAGTAATTCTGAATGGATCCGTCTACTGTAGTAGGCATATAATCCAGTCAGGTCAAGGTGGTAGTTTTTTTTTTTTGGCATCTCCATGTGGTCCTGTTCAGGATCGCAACTTGACGTCTAAAATGTAAACAAGCTGTAAAAAGCTCTAAACAAGCTCTCTGCTGTTGCACTGTACGCATACTGTACACTGAACTCTTAAAAGATTTGTACTGTAATGTTTTGTGTGTGTGTGTGTGTGTGTGCGTGTTTTGGTGTGCATCAATTTATGAATTATATGGACTCCTATTATCATTTGGTTATTAGGTGTCATTTTGGAGTCTCCAAGTGTCCTTTTTTGGAAATAACTAAATCTACCTTGAAAAAACCTTGCAGTTTTGTGAGAATCACCCTTCACTTTAAGAGATATAGCAAATGAGGACAAAAATAAATGCATTAAACAAGACAAATTATGTATGCTTAATTTCGCGATAAGTATGTGATCAATCACAATTAATAGATCAAAGGGGTGCGAATAATTGTTAAATAATTTTTTTATATATATTGACAGCCCTAATTCGCTCCTAACTCGCTCTTCCTCTTCTTTTTCTGAATCAGTTTCTGGTTCAAACATATTAAACAAGATATGGCACTAAACAAGATATGTATTCTTAATTACACGATAAGTATGTGATTAATCACGAGTAATCGATCAAAAGTGTGCGAATAAACGCGATTAAAAATGTTAATCCATTGACAGCCCTAATTCTAATTCATCAACTTGTGGTGTTTACTACAGTTGACCGAGTGGATCAGGTATTCTGAGCTGGTGTGATTGAGAGGTGGCGGGGACTAATTTACATATTCATTGAACCGCGTATACTAAATGAAGCAAGGGTTTAGAGTTACATTCAAGTTATTTTAAGGCGTGAAGAAATTATTTTCACAGGATTTTTTTTTTTTTTTAAATATGTCATTTGGATTATCAAAGATGAGTTTTAAGGTATAGAATTACTAACTGCAGGGGGACTCTAAAGGTTCATAAGTTATACAGGCTCTTTGATATGTCCCGCCCAAACCTCCTGTTTCAATAAAAGGTGTTACTATAATGCTATTTCTGTCTTTTGCTTCTGTTTGCAGATATTTGGTTTTAGAGCATGTGTCAGGCGGAGAGCTGTTTGACTATCTGGTAAAGAAGGGCAGATTAACACCCAAAGAAGCTCGAAAGTTCTTCAGACAGATCATCTCAGCTCTGGACTTCTGCCACAGTCACTCAATATGGTGAGTGTGACCAGGCATTCCTGAACATGTCGGCCTGTTTTAATGGAAATTATTATAGCTGTGTTGATAATCATTGAAAACATTTTTTTAGAACATTTGGTGTCCAACCTCAATGCATTACACACAAACAAGCTGTGAAACTGAACCTTATTTGTGTTTAAATGCTCCAAAGCATATAGACAACTCAAAATAAAAGCGTATCCAAAACACAAAGCCTCAGCAATGCTTCCTAAAAGCCAGTCCAGTCTAGTCTTTCCCACCTTTTTCACACTTAATAGATTTGAGGCGACCGGCGTGCTCGCGCAAACTCTTCCCTCTTGTGCTCGTTAAATTCATATTCATACCCCGGGGCTTTCGATTATAACCATATCAAGATATCAGACTCGAGCTCTTTTTTCTCTCAAAAGCCATCCGAGGCAAGGCAAAGCGAGGCACGTCGCCTCTCATAGTTTCTCTTCTTGATTTATGATCAGAGCCCTCATCCGAACTGCTTTTTTTGGAGGGATCGGATGGTCTGAGGGAGGATTTACCATCATGAATCAAATCATGTGATATTCCCCTTTTTAAAAACATATTGCATGTCCAAATGGTGATTGAATGACCCATTCTATGTGTTTCTGTGTTGTTTATTGTGTGCTGAAAAGAATAACCACATCAATTGAAGACAAAATGGTGTTTTATGACTCAAAAAAGGGAAGAGAAACTTGAGAGTTCATGAGCTTCTTGATAGTTTTTCACACATCAGTGGCTTTTGCAGTATTTGAACCTGAAACTCTTTATCCAGTTGATTACAATTTGTCATCACAATACAACTGCAGCGTAACCAAATTTGCTGACATGTTTCATTTGATGGAATATCTGAAGCTGTTATTTCTGTAAGCTGGTAATTTCGTTTGTTTTTGATAATTGGTCCTGTTTGGTTCACTGAAGCATAAAGTCGGGTTATGAAAATGGGAAAAGGTGAGGGCTTAACCAACGATGTATAATGATCATGTTCTTTTACAAACATCATTACCAGATATTGACTTTTGAACCACATCATCAGTTTTAATCGGGCCTTTTGTTTTGCAAATACCTGGTTGCACTGAAGGAACAAATAGTATGAAATGGTGATTAATGCACTTATGCTGCTTTTTAGTCCTTCTATACAGTTCCCACTTACGATACATTGATATCAATGGCCAAATCCAAATGAACATGTTGGGCAACTATACGTATGGCTTTCTCAGTTTTTCCATCTACTGCTATAAGAACTTTTTAGTGCTAATGAGAAAAAATGCAAAATCAAGATTAAATGATGGCCATTAGGGAAGAAATTTCAGGTTTTATTGCTAAGCTTTATTACTATTCTTCATCAACAGTACATAGTACATAAAATATCTAAAATTAAATTGTTTTGCAAACAGTCACATTTACAACTTAATTATCATCAGTACCAATTAGGTTCTGGCATGATTTTGACTTCTGGCAGTGCCACAGATGGGTTTTCCAAGGGTTATGGTGCCGTTCATGTGCTCTCATCTCAACGTATGATCATTCTGACAGCGGTGACTTGAAGGCAAAATCTTTACTTTGAGCTGTACCTCTGAAACACTGAGAGAAGAAAAACCGACACCTGGATAAACGAGCAAATCCTCTCATTTAACGCGTAAGAGTGTTATCAAGCTGATGTATTTAGAGATAAAAGGGAGGTATTATGGGTAATCAGTGTGGCTCTTTTACACCACACACATACACATTTGCATTTGTGCGCATCCACATACAAACAAGATGAAAGAATTCCCTCACAACAAAATACTGCGGCTCAGGGATGTTATCAGATGGTAATAACATGGTACTTTGATACACTATGGAACTGAATGATTACAGTTTTCTTGTACCATGGTGTTGAATGATAGACAATATTGCCAAAAGTTTTGATACGTCTGCCTTTGCATGCACATGAACTTTAATGACATTACATTCTTAATCCATAGGGTTTAATATACAGTTGGTCCACGCTTTGTTTCTATAACAGCTTCAACTCTTCTGGGAAGGCTTTCCACAAGGTTTAAGAGTGTTTATGGGAATTTTTGACCATTCGTCTAGAAGTGCATTTGTGAGGTCAGGCACTGATGTTGGACGAGAAGGCCTGGCTCGCAGTCGCCGCTGTAATTCATCCCAAAGGCGCTCTATCGGGTTGAGGTCAGGACTCTGGCAGGACAGTCAAGTTCCTCCACACCAAACTCGCTCATCCATGTCTTTATGGACATTGCTTTGTGCACTGGTGCGCAGTCGTGTTGGAACAGGAACATCCCCAAAACTGTTCCCACAAAGTTGGGAGCATGAAATTGTCCAAAATGTCTTGGTATGGTGAAGCATTAAGAGTTCCTTTCACTGGAACTAAGTGGCCAAGCCCAACCCCTGAAAAACAACCCCACACCATAATCCCCCCTCCACCAAACTTTACACTCGGCACAATGCAGTCAGGCAAGTCCTGTTCTCCTGGGAACCGTCAAACCCAGACTCGTCCATCGGATTGCCAGACAGAGAAGCGTGATTCGTCACTCCAGAGAACACGTCTCCACTGCTCTAGAGTCCAGTGGCGGTGGCTTTACACCACAGCATCCGACGCTTTGCATTTCACTTGGTGATGTACGGCTTGGATGCAGCTGTTCGGCCATGGAAACCCATTCCATGAAGCTCTCTACGCACTGTTCATGAGCTAATCTGAAGGCCACACGAAGTTTGGAGGCCTGTAGCTATTGACTCTGCAGAAAGTTGGCGACTTCTGCGCGCCTCAGCATGCGCTGACCCCGCTCTGTGAACGTGGCCTACCACTTCGTGGCTGAGTTGCTGTTATTCCCAATTGCTTCCACTTTGTTATAATGCCACTGACAGTTGACCGTGGAATATTTAGTAGTGAGGAAATTTTATCAATGGACCTATCCTGGTTCCATGCTTGAATTCACTGAGCTCCTGAGAGCGACCTATTCTTTCACAAATGTTTGTACAAGCAGTCTGCATGCCTAGGTGCCATGGAAGTGATTGGAACACCTGCATTCAATGATTTGGTGGGGTGTCCCAATACTTTAGGCAATATAGTATATCTTAAATGATAAAGTAATCTCCAAGTAAACGCTCATGTAGTTGAATGTGTTCAAACAGCCACTAAAGACGCCTACTCTCCAACCAAAACGCAACTTGATACCAGGTGTAAACAGGACCTTAGTGCGTCTCCTGAGCCCAACGGACTCAGTGTCTTACTGTCTCTTGTCCGTGCATCAATTCTCAGAGCTGCAGGCCTCACGCAGAGCAGCAGTAGGGCAGTATGCTACACCAGGGATGAGAAATGTCCCTGCCATACTGTCACACTTCCCCGGCTGTTTGCTTTCTTCATATGTGACTGAGAGACGCCTGTTCCCTCTGATCTCATGCTGGGACAGTCAGCAGGGGATGATGAGAGAATTACCTACCCAATATTCTCTTTTTCCACTGCCGTCCTTTCCTATTTCAGTATTCGTCCCGCTCTTGCGTTTGTCTTGCCAGCTTTTTGTCTTTTTTGCTTGTCCGTTGTCTGTCTTTTCTCTGTTTTTCTCTTTGCCTACACTTATAACTTGCATATCAATTCCAAAACCTGCTTAGACAGCTTTTTAAGGCATCATATGGGTTTATGACAGCTGTTTCAAAAGGTAGACAGCATAATTATACTTAAGTATGTGCATTAATTATGCTAATTAAACATATTATGCATGATTACAATGATCTGCATCTCCATTTTCACCTTTTTGGGTTAACTGATACTTTAAGGTGATACAAATCTGAATTGTGCAACATAAGCACATTGGAAAAACGTGCCTTTTTTATGCAAAACTCCAAAAACACACATACAATATACAATTTGCTGCAGTTTCCAGCTCAAATGAACACTAATGGCAGTAAAGCACCATTTTGTTTGTAAACAGGGCCTAAAATAAACACTCGCCAAGTGCCAATTGAGAGTAAAATTTTACTTTGGCGAGTAATCGCGGTAATTTTGACGGTGTCAATCACCAGTTGGCCGGTAACATTTTTATAAATTCAAACAATGCAATATTGTGAAAACATCATCACGAATGTGTAAGCTTTGCCTGTTTAAATATTCAAGCACAATACGAAGCAAAAGGAAGCTCAATTCATTACTCACCAGAAATCCGCGTCTCAGACAGCGCGCCAATACTAAATTGAGCTCTCTTTCACATTATCTTAAATTTGAACGGACAAATTCACACAAAATTATGTAAAAAAATGCCCGTCTCAGCAAGTATCCTAGTAAACATAGTCGGTTATGTCTTAATGGTACACTGTGTAGGAATTTCTCCCATCTAGCAGTGAAATTGTATTTTGCATTCAAACTAATGGTGCTCTCTACGCCTCGCTTTTTCAATTGTGTGTTGCAACTACGGTAGCAACTGCACTTCATTGAGTTAAACTATACATGTTCTACTGTTATGCTGCCTATGAATTACACAACCAAGAAATGAAAAAAAAGCTTGTAATTTAGACCGTAACTGCCGACTTACTGTCGAGAAGAAAGCAGCGACCCTTTCAAAGTCTTTCTGCTTCATTAGCTCTTTCCACCTGGGAAAAGCTATCCCGATATTTTCCCTCGTTTTTTTAATTCGCCGGTCACTTTTCCTTTTAAATTAATTTTTTTGCTTTTTTGGCGACAAGGATTCCTTCTCCTGTGGCTCGGCAAGTGCTGCCTTTCAATTTTGCCGGGGTAGCGACATGCGCCTCTCACTGATCTCCTTGTGCGTTTCAGCTGGTTTCAGTCACGTGACGCTGGCTCTGAACGAAAACGCATTGTGGCTAGTGCTTTTTGTCCCTCTCTGGGACATGGAAGCCTCCCGTCCCATGTAATTAAAGATAAAAAATTCTTAGCTTACGAGGATAAGTCAGATTATTGGCAGAGGTAATTTTACACCAATGAGGACATATTTATGAATAAAGACATTGATTTTAGCTAATAAAATACTTTA